ACAGAAAAGAAAGAGTAATTGATCATCAGCTCATAGACACAGAAAGGGTTCTTTGTACAGAGGACGAAAATATCTCTAGTGAGCTTTTCGGTCATCTAAGAGAATCAAACGGTATCTAAAATGTTTATAAGGAGAGTTTAACTTTAACAGCTTTCTAATATATTTACAGGGTGATTGGTATCTAGTTTTTGGGTCTTTAATCCCAAACATACTAGCTACTAATATCAGAAATAGCTAGTAGTAGTCAACCATCGACTTATACCACCTTTCCACCAGGTGATAGTCCAAAAAATTTGGCCTCCTTTGAATCTGGCACCATTGCTACTGGTTAGGCATGCAACAATCCCAGGCTAGGGTCCGCTGATTGACAGTGAGCGATTTGGTACCAAATCGCTCGCTGTCGCTCAGGGAATAGCTTGGAACTGTTGCATACCTAGTCTAAACTAACGACATCCGGGATGAAATTGAAGTTTTTCAAAGAACTAACTACAAATCAGTTATCATCATCATCTTAGCTTTGCCAAGCATCAGTCTCGTTCATACAACAGTCAAGGGCACCAACGGGATGAATACAACTCCAGCTGAACGCTACCAGATCATCTTAGATCAAGCAAATAAAGTTATCCGCACGGCACAGCGAAAAGCAGCTGACATCCGTCAACCGATAAATCTGACAGTTGTTGATTCATCAGACACCTTAACTGCATTCAGACGAATGGACAATGTCTGTACCGCATCGATTGATATTTCAATGACAAACGCGACGACAGTAGCACTTTTCAATGATTGGACAACTGCACCCCTTTACAACAGTTCACAGCCTTTGGGTGGATCACTCTATGGATTGGAAGAAACGAATGGTGGTTTGATTGTTGTCGAAGGGAAACTGCCAATTCTGGTAAAGGAAGGAATTTTCATTGGTGCCTTGGGTGTTAGTGGTGGAAGTGTACAGCAGGATGTTGAAGTTTGAAGGTTGGTGTAAATGCATTGTAGTTTAAAAAAACAAAATGTCCTTCCGTACATTTGGGGCTTGATCGACATTTATTTTGTACTTACTGTGCCTTTTAATAAAAACTATTTCACGAGACTCTGCCATTTGTTGGTCTCGCTAGGATTGCAGAACAGCAACAGACTACGATTCTCTAACAACTCTAATTATATGCACGAAACTCCCCACTAATATACTTCGGCTGTCGTGCTGAGATATCGAAATAATAGTTTGATTTTAACATGCAACTTCTTTTCTTTAATTCTAAAGACTAGAGAGAGAGAGAGAGAGATTATCGCTCATTACTTTGCTCTTTTTTCCTTCTTAATTTCCTGAATCTCACTTACTATGTTCTTATTAAAACATTTATCTTAGCTTCACTTTGTAACAAGATCTGTTTGTTTGTTTATACGAGTCAAAATCCACACTTTCTATTAGCGTAAGGAAAAAACGTCTTCTTTCACTTCTTGTTTGTATTTGTCGTCCAAGAAGATGTGCTTTAGACATGCAGCATGGCAATAATGATCAGTAGCACTTATTCATCTCACTTTTTACTTTGAAGAGCCGAATTAAAAAAACATGTCATATCTGCAAGATACAGTACAAGGAAACATGAGTTGTTACTATCTCTACTGGAATTCAACTGTACTTTATTTTAATCACATAACAATCGTGCTGTCTGTCATATCCGTACTTGTTCACACCCTCTTCTGGACACAAGTCATTCTCTATCGTTCCCTCCGTCGTCGTTCCTTCGTGTGGATCTACAGTTATCTCTTCACTGACATCCTCATCCTTCTCTTCTATTTCCTCCAGTTCATCACTCGTTCATCACGCGCTTGTTTCTCATACAATATGCGGCAATTTCTCTATATTCTTGAATCCTACAATCTTCTCTATCTGCAAATTGTTGAAGTCTATCTGCTTGTGGCTCTCAATTGGTGTCGTTATTATCAAATTGTGAAGAATACAGTGATATTTGATAAATACCCAAAGTTACTGATTATATTTCATACGTTAATCTATCTATTTCCACTGATAACAATCGAACTGGAGACTTTGGCTGGGTGGTTAGCAATCTGATTGATGGGTACAGTTCAAATATCAAATATTTTAGCCTGACTGTGGAAGTACTGAATGTGTTGTTAACAACTTTGGCACCGATTCTAGTTAGTATTATTCTCCTTCTCCTGACATTCTCACATGTTCGACAATCGAAGAAACGTGCAAACCGTATACAACATCGTTTCAAGAGGAAATTATTCATCCAGTTGATCGTCTTCTATATTCTTTGGCTTCTCCTCTGGACGCCGAATGTAGTTATATATCAAATCGCATCAATAGACAGTGTGTGGAATATGTATGGACAAGTGTTTTCCTTCTGTGAGACACTATTGGATCCAATTCTCTTTTCAATCTTAGACAATCGGTTCTATGGAACAGTGAAACTAAGCTATCGACGACTGAAACTGAAGAGAGCATTACATAGTCAAAGAATACATCCGATTAGCATTGGTATAAAACTTCAACCAACTGCAGTTATAAGAACATAACAAAAAGTAACTTCAGCTCTTCGTATAGTGATTGTTTAAAGCGATCGATCGAATATTGCTACTTCTAGTTCTAACGTAATTAGAACGGATATTAAAAGGTCCGCACGCTACGAACTGACTTCAATTTAATTTCTTTCTGCCACATAGAAAAGAAGACCTCGAATCAATTAATAATGAGATCTGAATGCTTGTAACCTCTGATTATTTGTTTCAGAAGTTTAATTTTTTTGTTAAACGTTCGTTTTTTGTTTAATATTTATGAGCAACTGAGGATTTTGACGGAATTTCTAGAAAACCGATATAAGAAAAACCATCTGGACATAGTCAATACCTTGCGCCTTTTGCAGCATTAGTCAAGTAGTTTGTGGCATAGCTGTAGTTTTCCCATTCCAATCGAGGGACAGCTTTTTGCAATCCTGGAATTCTTCAATTCTTTTGTAAGTCAAGGATATAAGAATTCCGGGATTCCCTCCTTTATTCAGTGCGGATCGGGTGGGATGGGTAGTGAGTGTGAGTAACACAACAACATTTAGCTTTTTAAGCATGAGCTTCTAAGCTAATGGGTCCTGTTCTCGGTTGGAATGCGAAAACTACACTTCTTATCTGGGTGGGAAAATAAGCTCCTAAATTGCTCTTGTCAACAACCTGTTCCTCGGTCGGAATGGGAAAACTACAGTCCTCGTTTGTGGGTAACAAGATCCCGAAGAACTGACGTGTAGTTTTCGAGGAAGGAGGCCAGGAAGAGCCAAAGCAGGTCTCACCACTACGCTTACCACGAATAAGTAAAAAATGCTAGACTTCATTATTGCTTCATACGAACAAACTTCAAAGCCGCTTTCATTTGAATATAAACAAAGTTATGTTTTGTTAAATTATGAGCTCACCCAACACGCTATAAAACGAGTGATATCTGCTAATGCAAATAAGATCTTCCAGTCAAAAATTCATTCCGAATGTCAGAGAAGAAAATCTCATTTGCGGATAGAAATATGCAATGTTGTATGCTCTTCCTAGTTAGCAATATGACAACGCTTGATAGTATTAGCTAAGGTACGATTTCGCTGTTCTGGCACCCTAAAAACGCTTCAATTCACAACTTATGGCCGAGGAAAAACCGTGTTCGGAATAATTTTTCGATGGGGCGACAGGGGTCTTTACATGTCTTTAGTAGGGCTGCCGATTGCACAGATGCGCGATTAGAAGTGCAAAATGTAAA